AAAACCTCCTGGACCCTTTGTTGTCTGTGCACCTTTGCTTACATGCCTGGATGAGATCCCTGGATTGAAGAGCATGTGCATTTATAATTCTGCTAGATGTGGGCAAATTGTCCTAAAGTGGGCATGCCATTTTACACCCCCACCAGTAGCGTGGGGTGGGGGGTCCCCAAATCTTGCCAAGTGTGATTTGATTGACTCACACCCTTCCCCAGGATCTGAGGGAGCAGATGATTGAGAGAGATGGGGGCGCTGTGGGGTGTCGGGGAGGAGAAGCGTGGACCCAGCCAGGTCTGTTGGGGCAACTTTTGCTGGAGAAGACACTAGTGAATGGCACAGTGTTCTAAATGGTGCTTATCATCAAAACCAAAACGTTTTACATGTCAGGGAGTGAATTTAGCACTTTTTGAGAAAATGTATATCCTTTGGGTTATCAAAATTCCCTCGAGGGGCCAAAAAATGTCCTATCTTAAATACAGTAGTAGAGAGGAGAACAAAATGAATTGTAGATGAATACATCATTTGGGAGAGGTGACAAACCAGCCCACTGAATGAGGCCAACACACAGATGCATTTGATTCACACAGTCTTAGAAATTGGGAAAAGCTTCTCAACAGATGCAATCTCGAACTCTCTGTGTCTCCAAAATCTGGTGATGCCCCAACTAAAGGTGCCCGGGGACTGGCTATGGGGACTGTTTGGCTGAGGGAAGGACCAGACAGGGGACTCGGTATGTTAGAGCCTCAGCTGGGAACTTATGAGGAATGCAGGCTCCTGGGGTGACCCCAGACCTGCCGAATCAGAAACTCTGGGGGAAGTGGGGCCAGCAAGCTGTGTTTTAGCGAGTCCTCCAGGTCTGATGATACACTCTCAGGCTGGAGAAGGTGTGTTCTAGAAAAATCTCCCCAGCCTAAGCTTGTGGCCCCGGAATGTCACTAACCTTGGGAATGTCTTCTCTGTGTGTCTCTTGGTTTGGGTTCTCTTCGTTTCTGTCTCTGCTTTTGCCTGTGGATCTGCGTTTCTGGCTGCATGTCTCTCTGTGTGTCCCTAAACCTGTCTCCTCGTCCGCTGCAATTGTTCTTGGCCGCTCTGCCCATCTCTGTCTGTACGTCTCTATCGTCGTGTCTCTTTCTGTCTCTGTCTGTGGTTGTGGCTTTCAACCATCTCCATCTGTTGCGGTGGCTTCTCTCTGTTTCCCTGTCGTGGTCTCTCCTGCACCCGGACCAGGCCATCCGCCTGAGAGTGCACCCCCTGTACCTGATGATCCCCGGCACAGTCGGCTGCTCCTATGCCTTCATGCTCCCGGTCTCAACACCGCCCAACTCCATTGCCTTCGCCTCCGGACACTTGCTGGTCAAAGACATGGTGAGTCGGGGCTCGACCTAGCAGAGGCCTGAGAGGGGGCGGCCAGCAGGTGCTGGGCAAGACACCTGGGCAGGGCCCCTGCTCCTCCACCCCCCACCCGCCCCCCCCCCAGTCTCTGAATAAGTCATTTGGAGTGAGGGCCGGACTATCTAGGTTGGTTTTAGCAAACACTCTGGGGTGATTCTTATGCTTCGACAATTTCGGGAAACACTGCCTTAGTGATGACTTTCCAGAGTCCACTTCAGGGACAAGGGACTTCCTTCTCTCTCTGGGCACTGCTCTCTTTTCTTATTTGTTCAGCCAACGGCTCCGTGCCTGGAATCTGTAGGAGAGACGAGCAGCAGTTCGCACCCTGGGGGGCCTGGAGAGGTCCCTCTCCCCTCACTCGCCTGCTGAACCCGCTCCTCCCTCCCTCCTCCTGCCTTCCCCTGCCACTTCCCCTCCACTGGCTGCCTGGGGGCACTCAGGGAATGCAAATCTTAAGCTGGTGTAAACCATTTCCTGGTCCAGTCTCTCCAGGCTCAGAGACTCAAGCAGGATAAACCGGAGGGGAAGGGAGGGAGGCGGTGGGCAAGAATGAGAGACAGAAAGAGGTCACAGAGCAAACAGAGAGAGAAGGAGGAGGCTGGTGTGCCTGGAGCGGAGTTGGGAGGATGAGGCCAGAGGCCTGGGGGAGGGGAAGGGTGCAGAGCATGCCGGGCACAGACTTGGGATCTTATGCGGCTCACAGTGGAAAGACTTAAAAGGTATTTGAGCAGGGCCATCCATGCAGGCAGGCGGGGTCCGAGAACCCAGGGGAAGGTCCCACAGGACCAGCCAAGAGGGTCCTTGGCTTCACGCAGGACAGAAATCAAACGTGAGCCAGAGAAAGTGAAAACGGAGTTTATTGAATAGCGTGAGTGACAGACAGAGAGTAGTAGATGGAGTGTCTGGGAGACTCGGAGAGGAGAGAATGAGTCTCATCCTTGCTTGGGGTTAGGGGTTCACATTGGGAAAGGGTCTAAGGAACATCGTTTGCCTTCAGGAATCCACGGTAGGGTCCCATCAAAGGGAGAGTCAGGTGAACCATAGGCTATTCCAGAAATCACTGGAGGTCGGGGTATGGATGCCACCGTCAGCCGGGGTTTGTTGGAAGCTGATGTCCTGGAATGTGTTTGGGATCTGGCTCTTCTTAGATGTTATCAGGTGTTTAGGGGCTAGGACAGAACTCAGAGACTAATTCACTTTCTTGCTTCCCCCTCGAAGTGGGAACACAGCTTCTTTGGCTTATTCAGGGGCAAAGTATGGAACAAGAGTAAACGGGGCCTGGCAGGAAAACAGCCGAGGCGGAGCCTTTCTAAAATGGAGTCCCTTCAGCTTCCCTACTTCCCAGTGACGTGGTTTGACTCCTGCCTTTCCAAGATCACTGTGGCTGCAGGGTGAAGTGGATCGCTGGGGGCTGGGGCTGAGTGTGGAACGGGGAGGCCGCTTAGGGAAGGCAGCAAGAGGGCAGAGATGCGACCTAAGGCCCGTCCTGAGAACAAGGGGACAGTGAGAGAAATGGAGAGACCTCGCGAGGGACGGGAAGAGGCCGAGGGGTACAAGGGGGCACAGAGGGGCAGACGTGTCAGAGCCAGGCTGGATCCACGTGCCCGCCTGTAGGCTCTGCTCCCAAGAGTGATGGTGGAGGTCGTTGACATGACGAATGTGGGACAAAGCAGGCGTTTGGAGCCAGGCTCCCAGGAGCCCAGCCCTCCTCCCAGGCACCCCAAAGCTTTGGCCAGGCCCCTTCCGATCCCCCGAAGTCACCAGGGCTCTTCTGCAGAGGCAGGTCAGCATAAGGCAGCTGGACCTTGTCACTGGGCGTACTCCCTTCACGACTGACGCCCTTTCTGCGGGCCATCCGTGGCAATATTGATGTAACAATTCTCCTAAATCAACTCACATTTTTTTAAAAAAGATTTTTATTTATTTACATGACACAGAGAGAATACAAGCAGGCGGAGAGGGGGAGGGAGAAGCAGGCTCCTTGCTGAGCAGGGAGCCCGATGCAGGGCTCGATCCCAGGACCCTGGGATCATGACCTGAGCCGAAGGCAGATGCTTAACTGACTGAGCCACCCAGGCGCCCCTCAACTTACATTTTTTAAAACACTTTAAATAAGAGTATTTAAAGAGAAGAGTTTCTGACGCATCTGGGCATGGAAAACTGGTATTGTACGCCGTAGAAGGTAAGTCTAAAAAAAAGGCACAGACAAAAAAAGCAAAATGATTACATTTGCCCTGAAACCGATGACCTGGAGAAGGTTCTGAACCCCTGCTTGCTCAGGAGGGCAATTGGCAAGGAAGAGAGAAGTGTTAAGGGCATGACAGCACCTAAGGGAGACCTTCTGTGGGAGGAATAGATTCAAAAAGGGATTGAAAAGGGAGTGACTCTCTCACCGCGCAGTTCACAGCTGAGCAATGCTAAGGTCAAACAACCAGAAAACCCGGATGAGAAACAGATTTTCAGCCCAAGTTTGGACTGAATGGCGCAAGAGGTTAGCCTGGGGAAAAAGCAAACAGGCAGACTTGTTCTAGCTACTTAAAAAGGTCAGAATTCCCGTAAGACAAATTCCTCACAACAAAAAAGTATAGCCTTAAGTAGACACGGAGTGTGGATAGGTGTGAGTGAGTGTGTATGAGTGTGTGTGTGAGTGTGTACGTGTGTTATCGATCAAACCAGATTATTTTCAAGCTGTGTGACCTGGGTAAGCCCACTTCTCGGAGCCTCGTTTTCCTCGTCCGTAAAGGGGAAGTAATGATAATCACCCTTCGAGGGTGTCATAGGGATGGCATGTCTCTACGACACCTACGCAGCACAGTGCCTGGCCCCTAGAACCACTCGGCGGATGGGGACATTTTAGCTCTCCAAGGGGCAGCCTAGGGTGCGTAAAGATGGAAGGGTCTTGGGCATACACCAGCCTGGATCTGTGTCCTGGAACCATCACTTCGCAGCTGGGAGATCTTGAGTGAGTGAGTTCCTGATTCTGGGCGTGGGTTTTCCCATCTGTACAATGGGCTCTGAGCTGATCCCTCCCTTCACCTGGGCTCCATTTCAGGTGCGGACAGGCCTCCTGATGAACCTGATGGGTGTCCTGCTGCTCAGCTTGGCCATGAATACTTGGGCACAGACCATCTTCCAGCTGGGCACCTTCCCGGACTGGGCCGACATCCACTCAGCCAACATCACAGCACTGCCATCCACTTTGGCCAACGACACATTTCGGACCCTCTGAGTGCCCCCTCCGGGACTCTCTCTGGGCCGGGCCCTCCCAGAAGGCTTCTGCCATCACCTGCTGCTAGGACTCTACAGGACAAGCGAGCAGTTCTTTTCTGTGATCCAGTGTGCAGCAAGCAAGAGTGACCTCCAGTGGTCCACTTGGGCCCACAGGCTCATTATCTAGGACACCTTCTCCTTCTCTTTCATGGAGGTCAGGGCCCAGATATCTCCCAGATCTGCTGCCAGAAAAACAAGCTCCTTTATCTCTGAGCTGTTCTATGGCTAGGATGCAAGAGAGCCCTATTTCAGCAACAGGAAGCAAATCTGGAATATGGCATTTGACTTAAACAGTTGGAATGGGGGGGCATCAATTCCTGTGGGCACTGCTAACATCCCCCATGGCCTACTTTAGGTTACACTCTGGAGAGATCATCTTGCCTTTAGATGTCACCTTCCTCGGGGAGGCTTTTGGGGACGCAGCGTACCAGCTGTTTGCAACCACGGTGCGTCCTGCTCGGTCGGTGCCCATTCTGTGCCCGTTGTTTGAATATGACCCCTATCGGTACACCGCAGCCGGGGTTACTTTCAATCCCTGGAGACAGGGGAGGGACAGATGACCTCCTGAGGACAGGGAGGCTGTGCAAATCCTCCTTGCTGCGCTTCTGGGGGCCTGAGTACACCAGGGGAGTTCTAGAAACCCCCAGCTGACATCTCTACCTAAGCTTTTTAGGATTTTCCTGTTTAATCTGATTCAGTTTGACCATAATTCTGGGGTCAGGCCAAGCCCTGGCCTTACCGTCCTTTCAGCGAGGACTCTCCTACGTGTGGCCCGCGGGGGCCTTTGTGGTTGCCCGCTACTCCTTATTCCAGCAGCTGGTCTTTACCTCCCTACCCATACCCCGAGGGGTAAGCATGTTTAATTAGCAAAGGCCACATTTTTCAGGAATGAGGAAAAAAAAAAAAAGTCAGAAGATACATTGAGGCCTCATAAAAGGCCAGGGTAAAATTTCTCAGGCAGACAAAATATCGTAACCTTCTTCTGCAGAGGGGGCCAACGGAGACTTCCCCTGAGCCAGTGGCTGGTGGGGGCTGTCCTAGAAGATCTGATCCCTCCTTGTTTCCAGCAGAAGCATCTGGGCATCCCCAGTGAACAGCACAGTATCAGGCCCAGCAGGAGCTCAGGATATGGAATGAGTGACCCAGCATCAGCTAAGGTGCCCGTGGGGGGTCTGGAAGCCTCATGTCTGCCCTTCCTGCGTATCTGAGGGATGAAGTTCCCTGGGCAGTAGGGGCTGGGACGGCGGCACCCAGAGACTGAACTCGTCCTCAGAATGGCACGAGTGAGTCATGGATGTTTCCCTGGGAGCAGCGGGGAGGAGAGAGGAGGAGCCCCCAAGTTGGAGGATGGGCTTCACCTCTTCCCACGTGAGTACTTTAGAATTCAATCAGAGTTGCAGCCCATGGCGGTTGGGAGCAGCACTCGTGGAGAACAGGGGATGGGAGAAGTCCATCCGCAGAGAAACCCACGCTACTTGTAACCAGATGAATCGTGATTTCAAATAGTTCTGATTGAAAATGCTATAAAATAAAGAGTGTTAATCAATACTGGGCCTACAGATTATTTGCTTTCTGGGCATAAAAGAGCTTTTTTTTTTTTAAGATTTAATTAATTTATTTATTTGACAGAGAGAGACACAGCAAGAGAGGGAACACAAGCAGGCAGAGTAGGAGAGGGAGAAGCAGGCCTCCCGCAGAACAGGGAGCCCAATGCAGGGCTCAATCCCAGGACCTGGGGATCATGACCTGAGCCAAAGGCAGACGGTTAACGACTGAGCCACCCAGGCACCCCAGCATAAGAGAGCCTTAAGGTGCCAAATTCCTGAGCTGGGGGTTCCACGGAACTGACCTCCCTGACTTCACTTCCCTACTGCTCTCCCCTCTGCACTCCAACCACATGCTTATACTGCCCTGCCTCAGGGCCTTTGCACATGCTGTTCCCATTACCAAGAACACTTTGCTTCCAATTATGAGCTTATTTCCTCACTTTATTCAGTTCTCTGCTCAAATGTCACCTCCCTAGAGACTCTTCCCTGACCATCTGGTGTAAAATCTTGCTCTCATTACTCTCCATCTCCTTACTCCACTATATTTTCCTTCTTAGTGTTAAACCAGGCCACTGGATCATGTATTTTCTTGTTTATTAACTTTCTCTCCCTCTAGAATACCAACTTATCAGAATACAAACTTTATTTTGTTGAGTGCCATAACTCTCGTACCTAGAATGGTTTCTTTTTTTTTTTTTTTAAAGATTTTATTTATTTATTTGACAGAGAAAGACACAGCGAGAGAGGGAACACAAACGGGGAGTGGGAGAGGGAGAAGCAGACTCCCTGCCGAGCAGGGAGCCCGATGCGGGACTCGATCCCAGGACTCCAGGATCATGACCTGAGCCGAAGGCAGTCGCTTAACCAACTGAGCCACCCAGGCGCCCCTAGAATGGTTTCTGACACATAACAGGTGCTCAGTAAATATTTGATAAGTGAATCTATACTAAAATTTATGAGAAAGCAATCTTGCCCTCTGGTCCATGGTCTGTCCCATTCATTTCTTTGCTCACTCCTTCTTCCATTTATTCATTCAACAATATTTATTAAAACCTGATTATGTGTTCATTCACTGTCCACATCCACATGGAACTTACATGCTAGCTGAGGAGATAGGCAGTGGGCAGGTAAACAAATAAAATGACTCTGGGTCATGATATGGGCTAAGAAGAAGATGAAATTGGACAATGTGACAAACTGACTCAGAAGTTACTTCAACCAGGGAGGACTTCTCTGAGGAGGTGGTATTAGAATGAGACCAGAAGGAGTCAGTCACGTGCTCACGGTGGCATGGGAGGAAGCTGGGTGGCATGGGTGGTAAGGATCATTGGAAATATATATGAGACTCATGTCTGGAATACAAGAGGAACATCCAGAAGTCAGAAAGAACAAACACAAAGCAAAATACCTGTTTTAGTTACTGTGGTTATATAACAAACCATCCAACACTCAGGCCCTAGAACACAGCAACTTATCGGCTTATGTTTCTGCATTTTAAATTTTTTTTAGAGAGAGAGAGAGACTTTGAGCAGGGGAGGGGAACAAAGGGAGAGGGAGGAGTGGGAGAGAGAATCTTTAGCAGGCTCCATGCCCAGTGCAGATCCTGACTCGAGGCTCGATCTCATGACCCTGAGATCATGACCTGAGCTGAAATCGAGAGTCATACGTTTTACCCACTGAGCCACCCAGGCATGCCATGTTTCTGCATTTAGACAGAGCTCTGCAGGGATTGTTTTGTCTCTGCTCTACATGGTGTGGCCGGGGTCACTCAGCGGGGAGTTTAGCTGGAACTTGAACGTCCATGATGACTGTGGAGCCTCCAGGGAGTCTAACCCAAACCTCTGAACCCAACAGTGGGCGTCTCAGAAGGCAAAAGCAGAAGCTTAAAATCTGGGCTTGAGAGTTTAAAAATTCAACTCTGCCACATTCTATTGATCAAAGCAAGTCAAAAGTTGGCCTGGTTCAAGGGGAGGGAACTAGGTTCCACTCCTTCGTGGGAAGAGTGACATCCTCATACAGAGACGGGAAGAGGCTTGGTCACTCTCTTTGGAAGGCTCGTACCGTAACACCTGCGAGCAGGATGAGGGCGAGATACAGCCGTGCCATTTTAAAGCAGGCTGTCAAGATGGCCAGAGCTCGAATCCACTCGTCATCAGATAAATGCAAGTTCAACCAAGATGCAACAACACACCAGTCCAACCAGCAGAAACTAGGCAAGCGGACAAGAAGTGATGATGGAACAGGAGAAGACAGACACCCTCTTGTGCTGCCGGGGAGACTGTTACTTCCGACGGTCAGCCTGGCAAGCGACATGGCAGTAATTAGGAGAATTCATTGCCTGCATTCCCTGTGGCCCACTTTTCCTACTTCTGGGTTCATATCCCAGCAAAATTGTCCCATAATCCCTACGGAGACGATGTAGGAGGATATTTGGGCCACTGCTGTTGGAGGTACCCAGGAGCTGGAGGCCACCTAGGTGACCTTCAGGGGGTGGGGAGTGATGGCATTTAAGTGAAACATGGGGAAGCTCACTATGGAAAACACAGCAACACACAGAAGTGATGAACAACAGGTATACGGAAGGTTCGGATACACACATACATAGTCTGGCACATAGATCAAGAACTTACAGAGTCAAGCGGGCAGAGGGTTGGAAGCAGTGATGGCAGATGAAAAACAAGATGAATAAAAGCCACTGAACGAGGGGTTCAGTGAGACACTTTGGACTCCTTGCTCTACCCATAACATGCTGTGTCACCTTAGGCAGGTCCTTTATGTCTTGGACTTTGGAGAGATAAGGGTGCATAGAGTCAGGGTCCCGGTCTCAGAAGGCAATAGTAAGCACACAGACTAGTTATTTGAGGACAGCTTAGTAATGGGTCTAGTTCCAAGGTGTGGGCAGAGGGTAAGGGAAACCACGAGGGAAAATGTGAGTCCTCGGTGGAGGGAGGGAGGAGCACCTCCCAGCCGAGGCTCTGAGGGACAGAGGCCCATGTGGGGCTGGCACCTTTATTCCTTACAAGACAGCCCCTGATGACTCTGAAAGGGGAAAGCTGCCCTGGATCTTTCTCTACATCCTCCTTCGGCTCTCCTGCCGGCACTCTCCATGACCAAACCCAACCTTATTGGTCAGGGTTCTCCAGAGAAACAGAACCAACAGGATGGAATATATATGTATGTATGCCCAGGCAAGAGTCCAAAGGCAATCTGCCGGCAGAATTCCCTCTTGCTCAGGGGAAGTCAGTCTTTTGTTCTATTCGGACCTTCAACTGATTGGATGAGGCCCACCACATTATGAGGCAGCAATCTGATTCACTTAAACTCCATTAATCTAAATGTAAATCTCATCCAAAAACACCCTCACAGAAACATCCAGAATAATGTTTGACCAAATAGCTGGAGGCTGCGGCCCAGCCATGTTGACACTGAAAGCTAATCATCACACCCACAGAAGCCAGAATATAGGAGAGTTCTTTGAGGCTGCGCATCCAGGTCTAACCCCAGGGCTCAGGGCAGGGAGGAGAAGAGTGGAGACAGGGTCTGCAGGGGCAAACTGAGAAAACATAGCAGGGAAGGTTTAGACCAAATCAGAGCTTGTAATCTAGTGGTCCCCAGGTCTGCATCCATCTCACAATCAGGATTTTTGGGACACCTTTCATGAGTTTTAAACTTTTTTTAAAATTATTTATTTATTTGACAGAGAGAGAGATAGCGAGAGCAAGAACACAAGCAGGGGGAGAGGGAGAGGGAGAAGCAGGCTTCCTGCTGAGCTGGGAGCCCGATGTGGGACTTGATCCCAGTACCCTGGGATCATGACCTGAGCTGAAGGCAGATGCTTAATGGCTGAGCCACCCAGGCACCCGAGTTTTAAACTATTAATTGATTGCTAATATTCTTTTTTTTTTTTTTTAAGATTTTATTTATTTATTTGAGAGAGCGAGAATGAGAGAGAGTACATGAGAGGGGGGAGGGTCAGAGGGAGAAGCAGGCTCCTCGCCGAGCAGGGAGCCCGATGCGGGACTCGATCCCGGGACTCCAGGATCATGACCTGAGCCGAAGGCAGTCGCTCAACCGACTGAGCCACCCAGGTGCCCTGCTAATATTCTTAAATTCAGAAAATTTCACATTAAAACTCTGATTTGTGCTTCTCTTGGAAAAGAAAAGACCAGAAGTTCTGGCAACATGGGACCCTATCGTTACCTGGCAACAATTGTTTGGAGCTGAGTAGTGGTGAAGGGAAAACTCAAACTGATAGGTGAACTCTCTTGTTTGCCACAGTCCCCACCCTTCCTTAATGCCTTATACTGACTCTCTTCATTTTAAAAATACCAGGTTTTTATTTTTATTTTTTAATTTTTAATTTTTTTTAAAGATTTTTTATTTATTTATTTGAGAGAGAGAGAGAATGAGAGAGAGCACATGAGAGGGGGGAGGGTCAGAGGGAGAAGCAGACTCCCTGCCGAGCAGGGAGCCCGATGCGGGACTCGATCCAGGGACTCTAGGATCATGACCTGAGCCGAATGCAGTCGCTTAACCAACTGAACTACCCAGGCACCCAAAACACCAGGTTTTTAAAACTGAGTACAAAAAATAAAGAAAAAATATCCCCTTAGTAAATTTTATATTGATTACATTTTGAGAGGATACTGTTTGGGATATATTAAGTTGAATAAAACTTTTATTAAAAGTTGAATAAAAATTTTATTAAAATAAATTTCACTTTTTTATGTGGCTACTAGAAAATTTTTAATTATATACATGGCTCGCATTCTGTTTCTATTGGGTAGCATCGTCTATTTGGTAAGATTTTAGCCAACTCTCCATATTCTCAGGCTGAGTGGATGGTGGCAATATTCTATGCCCACGGGCTATAAAATTCAATGACTCCAATATTCTTTGGACCTCCGATGCTGATCGTAGATCTGAAGGCTTACCACTTCCTCTTCCTATACTGTCTTATGGTTCTGAATCCTCTACCCAGAAATTCCCCTCAAAAAGCTGATTCTATTTTGGATGATTCAGAAGACCCTTCCGGATGTTGTGGGATTTAGAGCCAGGCCAGCTTTATGTAGGCAGAAGTGACTGCCTACATGTGCTGAGAAAAGCCAAAAATATCTTCTGCCCTTTCCTTCCCTATACCACCAAACTCCCAAATCCTACACATTTACCAGAGGTCTTCAGGAAATGACCAACATGGTCCTTAACCAGTCTTGGGGCCACTGCAGAAACTAGGCAAAGCCTGGTGGGTGCCTGCCGGGCCCGCTCCCCTCTGACCGGCACAATGCCCTAAAGTTCCCTATGTGATGGGGACCCTGGCCAGGGATCTGGCCCAGTGGGCGTCACAGAAGCCTCTATAATCAGGTCTAAACAGCCTGGGGCTCACTTAGGCAGAGCTGTCAGCCCAGGCGGGAGAGGGCAGGAGCGTGTATCTATCTACTGGATGCTCTACATACATTATTCCACTGAATGCTCAAGCAACCCTAAGGAGATATTAGTAGTCTCACGATAGCAAAGCCCACACAAGTTCAGAAAAGGACAGTGTCTTGTCCGTAAGTGGCAAAGCTGGCTTTCCCGTGCAGATCTTCGACCCCCAGCCCAGAGCCCCCACGGTGCAGACGGACATCTAGGCAGCTCCCGCACCAGCCCTGCTGAGGCTTCCTGCAGAGGCTGGAAGTCGGGGGCCCTCGTGCTGGCTTTGGCCCACAGACTTGGTAAGATTGGCCGGCCCAGAGGCCTTTTTTTTTTTTTTTTTATGCTGGCTTTAAAAACTTGGAGACTTTTACATAAAAAAGGGAATGACTGGCATTTTTGGAATAATTGGAAAATCTGGTAATGTCGGACCTCTTTTCAAGGGACTTCAACCCTCAACCGGAGCAGGGCCGAAGCTGTCCTTTCCGAGTAGGTCTACACGCGGCAGTTTACGCTGTTTCCATCCCGGTCTGCTCTGCTCCTTTGCCTCGGCTGGCTGGCCTCTGCAGGCGCCCGGGGCTCCTGCTCCCCGTCTACTCTGGGCTCAGTTCTCTGCAGACGCTCTGTGCCTGGCCTGGCTTCCTGGAGGGGCCTGAGATCTGGGAAGGGTGTCAGGCTCTCTGAGGGCCCCAAGTGTCTCATTCGATTGTGTGACCATGAGAATGTCACTTCCCCTATCTGAGCCACAGAACACCCTCCTTCAGGCCTGAGCAAGTGACCCAGGCAACATGTCCTTATAACGGAAAAGGATGGGGAGTCTGGAGCACCACCTAGGTGTGCCCTTCCTCACTGGCCCCTCCATCCTGCAGGGTGGAGGCCTGGGGGCACAGCGGAGGGCTCCTGGAGGAGGCAGCCTACTGGCAGAGATAAAGCACAGAGAGGAGGGGGGCGGGGGGGAGGGTCTGCTTCCAGAGAGGGACTGGCTTTCCAATCAGCCTGGAAGTGTACCTGCCAGGCACATGCTGCAGCAGGGTGTGCACACAGGGACCTCACACTTATTAAATGCCTACTGTTTGCAGTGCCAGATGCATCTGAAGGTAACACGAGTCTTGTGAACCCTTCCCTCCACACCAGTAGAGCCCAGTGGCTGACCAGTTGACTCTGGAGCAGGACTGTTGGCTGTAAGTCATGGCTCTACCTCTTACTAGCTGAGTGGCTTGGTCAAGGGGCTTAATTCTCTGGGTCTCAGTGTTCTGAACCAAAGAATGGAAATAACAGTACCTACCACAAAGGGTTGTTGGAAATAAGCATTCAGGGAATTCAAATAGAACTATTGAGAAGCGTGGGGCACCTGGGTGGCTCAGTCGGTTAAGCCACTGCCTTTGGCCCAGGTCATGATCCCAGAGTCCTGGGATCAAGCCCTGCATTGGGCTCCTACTTCTCCCACTCCTCCCCACTCCTGCTCTCTCTCTCAAATAAATAAATAAAATCTTAAAAAAAAAGAACAAGAAGTGTGTCTGATACTTAGCAAGTACTCCATAAATGTTAACTGTTACTATCATTTCTCTCTTTTAAAAGGAGGAAACTGATGGGGTTACCTGCTCAAGGTCACACAGGTAGGGAGGGACAAAGCTAAAGACAGAAAGCCAGCTAGAAAGGAGATGGGAGCCACTACGCTTGAAAGAGAGTCTCAGCGAGGTCCAACTGTCTCCTATGGGTTCCCACTGCTCACAGCTGGGGATCAGGCTCCTCTAGGGGCCCACAACTGTGGAGGGGGAAGGCAAGGGGAAGCCAAGCAGAGTTCTAGTCCTGGCACTATCACTAATGAGCGGTATGGCTTTTCTGAACCTCAGTTTCTTCCTCTGTGAAATGGGAGCAGTTCTACCTTCCTGCTCTCAGGATCACAGATAACTGCTTGGAAAACGCTCTTTCCTCCGACACCTTGCACCCACTTGCACCCACCCCTGCTTGCCGGAAGAGGATGAGGCAGCTTGCCCAACCCCCTGGGAAGTGGGCCCAGGCAGGGGCGGGACAAAGCCAGCAGGAGGGCTTAGTTAAGAGCCAGAAAGCAGAAGCAAGAGGGTTTTTCCCAAGTTCTAGAGAATACAGTTCTCCCCATTTCCTGCCCACCTGCCCGCACTGCCTCAGCCTGCCTGCCCTGATCCAGACCCACAGCTATTCGGGAAGCATGAGGGCTCCACGTGGGACCGCCGAGCACCACGCCAGGACCAGGTAGGTCTGGAGACCCTGGACACTGGGACCACAGGCAAGAAAACAGTCCTTGGTCAGGCACGATGGGTATGAGCTTAGCCTCAGGCTCTGCCATTCCTCAGCTGCGTGACCTTGGGTAAACTCCACCTCTTTGAGCCTCAGTTTCCCCATCTGTGAAGGAGAGTAGTAATAATTCTTACAAGATAGCTGTAAGAATTGAGGGGCACCTGGGTGGCTCAGTCGTTAAGTGTCTGCCTTCGGCTCAGGTCATGATCCCAGGGTCCTGGGATCAAGCCCCGCATCGGGCTCCCCCCTCTCCCGCTCCCCCTGCTTGTGCTCTCTATCTCTCTCTAACAAATAAATAAAACCTTAAAAAAAAAAAAAAAGAATTGAATGAGAAAATGCACACACAGGGCTTGCCATCGTGCTCGGCTTGGAGTAAGCCCTCAGCAGACCGCAGCCACTTTCCATGTCATTCCCAACACTCCCCCACGCCTTGGCCTCCAGCATGACTTAGAGCTGGCTTCCCTTCCCCTATCATTTGTATTATTCGCTCTTCTTTTAACGGCTACCATGCATGCCCCGAATACTCATTATTACAATAGCAGGAGGTTTAGTCCTAAATGAAAATGCCCTCAGGGGCCAGAAAGGCCCTCATTCATCATCTCTGACGCAAGTGGGTCCTTGGTGTTGTCCAGCTTGGATAGCATTGCCCTGGTTCGTTAACTCTCCCAACCTCCTGCCCAGCTAGTTTCCCCCCTCTCTTTCCTCTTCAAGCTCCCACTGCCTCCTCCAGCACGCTCTCCATCAACGCTGACCTCGCTTTCCTGCCACCCTGAGCAAACAGAAGCAATCCTAGGACAGCCTACAAACATTTAGGGAGCTACATGCCAGACACCATTCCAGGCACTTGGGCTACCTCAGTGAGCACAAGAGACCAAGGCCCTCCCCTGGTGGTATTGATGCTCTCGTGACAGATAACAGGTGACTTGCTCCTTACTCTGTCCCAGACACAAAGTGACCCTACGAGATGCTACTTCTATTCCGCCATGTTACAGACATGAGTTACATGTCTTATAGAAATAAGAAAACTGAGGCACAGAGAGATTAAGAAACTTGACCAAGGTCACACAGATGGTGAGTGGTGAAGCAGGGATTTGAGCCCAGGCAGTCTGGAGGCCATGCCCTTAACCACTTCTCAGTTGTGCATCAGAGGAACTGAGACTTGGCACCCACACTTTGCCCGTCACCCACCCCTCCTTTTGTGCTGTCCATCTTACCGGCTACCACCACCACCGAAAAGATGGCTCCAGGGGGCCTCCCCTTCATCCAAGCCCCCCTCTTGATTGGCTCTCCCATCTTCAAACCTGTTAGAGTCTCTCCCATCTCGGCGCCCTCCACCCCGCCCAGCGGCCGAGGCACCCTGTCTGTGCACCTTTACTGCAAACATGGTTCAGCACGCTCCTGTCTCACGTTCTACTCCTTCCAGTCTCTCCCAGGCCCCCTCTAGTTAGGTTTTGGCCCAAGATGCCACGAAGCTACCCTTGGGCAGTTTCCAGGCCAACGGTCATTGCTCGGTCCTCAGCCTTGTTGATCCATCAGCAGCACTTGACATATGTGGTGACCCCCCTCTTGGAACATTGTACTGGCCGGCTTCCCCAGCCTCCTTCTCACCTCCCAGCCTGGGGCGAGGGTTCTGGTCCTTGAGTGCCTCTCCTCCCCACCAACGCACCGTCCCGAGGAGTCTCCTGTCCTGCCCCATGGCTTTAAATGTCATCTATAAATCAATGATTTTACGTGTCATTTATTTCCCATTTCGGACAACACCTGGGTGCTTTCAGTTGCTCAGGCACCAAACCTCAAGGTCATCCTTGATCTCCCTCTTCCTCTCAGACTGCCTGTTGTGTTGGCTCCTCCAACAGAATGTATCCTGAACCCAACCTCTTCTCACGAATTCCTCTGCCATCACTTTTTAACGCAGGCTCTAGGAGGGCAGGGATTCTGGTCTGTTTCATTCATTCCTGTTTCTCTAATAGTAAGCATATAGTAGTTGCTTAATGAATATAAGGACAACAGAGTAGAAAAGCTCCCGAGTGGTCAATGGATCCACTCCCCATGCCTCCAAATTATAGAGGAGACCCTGAGGTCCACAGAGAAGGAACGTCCAGAATGACACAGGAAGCCAACCAAGACTGTGAATTCAGGGGAAACAGTGTCTTTCTCTCTCTCTCTCTCTCTCCCGAAGTTTGTCTCTTTCTTATTCTCTCTCATCTGCGCTTCTCTCTCCATGACTCTTTCATTCCCTGGGGCAAGGCACCCTCCCAAACCTGGAATTACGGACCCAGGCAGCCCAGACATCCATCCTCACATCCCCAGGAACTGGGCTCTTCCCTGACAAGTCCAGTGAGGATAATCCTAGGGCAGCCTCTGACTAGTTCTGCTTGGGTCCTGTGGCTTTGGGGTGAGTTACTGGGATTGGCCCACAGGGGAAGACTGCCAACCCCTGTGGCTCAGGGGGAGCCCGTTAACGATTGAAGGGTTTGTGGATCAGGGGCATTGGGCCGCCATCCAACCCGTCATCCTCCTGAAAGAGCACCCCCCCCATTTCCTTGTGTGCAGGTGGAGGTTCTGGCACTTGGGGCTCTGCAAGGCCCTCGGCCCCCTGCAGGCCGCCTGGGTCGCCTTCTCTCAGCCGGTCCCAACCAGCTGTGGCCAGCTGCTGACCCAGCTCTTCCTGTGCGGTTGCTTGGCTGTCGCTGCTGCAGGTCTGACGCACCACTGGCTCGTGTCCTCGCTGCTTTATCCTCTGGGACCCTCGGCCACGGTGGCCACTGTCTGGGGCCTCCTGGTCTTCCTGGTGCTGGGCTTGGTGCCCCCTGCCCGCTGCCTGTTTGCACTCAGCGCCCCTACCCTGGGCACGGAGCAGGGCCGCTGCCTGCTCTTGTCCTGGAGCACCACCACGCTGGGCGTCACCGTGGTGCCCAACGTCTTGGCCAACATGGGCGCAGCGGGGCAGGTGCTGAGATGTGTCACAGAGGGCTCCCTGGAGAGTCTGCTCAACACCACTCACCGGCTGCACGCGGCATCCCGGGCTCTGGGCGCTGCTGGCCCAGCGGGCAGCCAGGGCTGGACACTGCAGGCCCAGGGCAACGGCTCAGTGTTCCGCCTTCACATGCTCAGGGTCACCCAGCAGGTGCTGGAGGACTTCTCTGGCCTGGAGTCCCTGGCCCGGGCGGCCGTGCTGGGGACCCAGCAGGTGGTCGCAGGGCTCTTTATGCTGGGCCTCCTGGTGGACTCGGGCTGGTACCTCCATCGCTACCTGACTGACCTGCGGTTTGACAATATCTACGTGACCCGGCAGCTGGCTTGGCAGCTGGCGGAGGCCCAGGCCACACACCTGGTGGCCTCCCCACCAGCCTGGCTGCTCTGGGCTGCCCGGCCGAGGCTGTCCCAGGGGGAGCTGCTGAGTTGCCTCCTGAGGCTGGGGCTGCTCACCCTGTTCCTGATGGCCACAGCCGTGATGGTGGCCACAGACCACGTGGCCTTTCTGCTAGCTCAGGCGGCCGTGGACTGGGCTCAGAAGCTGCCGGCCGTGCCCATCACGCTCACGGTCAAGTATGATGTAAGTGCGGTGATGGGACTAGAGTCATTTCCTTGTAGGAAGGGGCGGGGTGTGTTAACCACTCGATTTGCAATTGTTTCAAGACCCTGCCCTTGGAGAAGCTAGGAGATCCTGGGGCATTTGCAGACAGACTCGCTCAATGTAGTGGGTTCTATTCTCACCCCCGTGGCAGATGAGGATCCAGATACCCAACAACTTGAAAATAATTTGACACCCTCCCACGCACCCCCCCGCCCAGGTCACTCTTTTCCTAAGTGGCAAGGTGTCCTAGCTTCATTTTCTTCACTTGTACAAAGTGGATCCATCCTCCTCACCCTGCCGGGTTATTGTGAGTCTTAACATGTGGTCCTCTGTAAAAGTATGCAGGGAGCTCCATGCCACACGGGAGAGGTCCAGTCAGTAGTGGTTATCATGAACAGCTCACAGCTGCATGTATCAGACTGGAGGAGGGCTTACGAATGATCTAGATCAGGCGTCTGCCAACTATGTTCCCCAGGGCCAAACCCTGTGGGCTTCCTGGCTTTGTAAATTAAGTTTTATTAGAACATAGCCGTGTCATTTGTTTAGGTATCGGCCCCTGGCTGCTCTTGATAGTCGCATCAGGGACAGTGTGATCTATGAAGTAAAACGTATTCTTCAACTTAAAAGTTCGTTTTCATTCTAATTTTTTTTTAAAGATTTTATTTATTTATTTATTAGAGAGCGAGCGAGAGAGAAACAGCATGAGAGGGGATAGGGTCAGAGGGAGAAGCAGGCTCCCCGCTGAGCCGGGAGCCCGATGTGGGACTCGATCCCGGGACTCCAGGATCATGACCTGAGCCGAAGGCAGTCACTTAACCAACTGAGCCACCCAGGCGCCCCTTCATTCTGATTTTAAAAGATACCCCAAGGGAATTGTAGAGCCTAATTCTTGGGAGCAGGGTGTTGGGACCCACCTTGGCTGGAACTGACCCCCTGGGGTTGGCCACATCCTAGTGTGACCTTAGGCTTCCCATCTTTTCAGTGGGGCTCATTCTGGGCTCAAACTCAGAGGATCGTGTGTATTTGATGAAAAAGACATCTAAGGTATTCACTAAGGGCTTAGCAAAGAGTAAATGCCCGTAGCACTGTTTGTTTTCTCTAAAGCGTTGTGTTCCGAATGTAATAGCACTGTGCTTTTTGTTTGTCAGAAGGCCTGCTTCAGACTCCTGATGTCATTTGCTACTCCTCGGTGCCCAGGAGGCAGGAGGCTGGGTTACTTCTGTGCCCATCTTACAGAGGGGGGCCAGCGGCCGCGAGTGGTGGGGGGCAGGGAATGGCTGCAGTGTCTGTCTGTTCACTTGGCCTTTTCCCCATCTTTGAAGGCCTCATACACGGTCCTGGGCTTCATCCCCTTCCTCTTCAACCAGCCGCCTCTGGAGAGCCCTTTCCTCTCGGCTCACAACGCCTTCCAGTGGGAGCTCCGCTTCACCTCCCCGGGCTGCCCACTGCTGCCCGCCCGGCGCCCCCACACGGCCGCCCCCCTGGCCGCCGGGGCCCTGCAGCTGGCGGCTGGCGCCACCGTCCTGCTGGAGACCTACGCCCGGCGCCTGCGACACACCATCGCCGCCTCCTTCTTCTCCGCCCAGGAGGCTAGGAGGGTCCGCCACCTGCACGCCCGGCTCCAGCGTAGATACGACAGGCACGGAGGCCGGCGGCTGCCCCTGGGGCCCCCGTCCTGCTCCCGAGACCCGAGTCTGTGAGCGCCCACCCAGCGCGGATAGACAGGCCTACGGCACGCTGGCCGCTGGGCAGAAGAGAGAGCAGCAAGGCAGAGGGGGAGGAGCTTGGGAGCCGTGCAGACCGTGGTCCTCCTGCTGCCTTCCTGTGTGACCTTGGGTAGATTGCTTCACCTCTCTGAGCCTCCGTTTCTACACCTGCAGGATGACTGCGTCATAACAACCCATGTGACCTACTTTCCACGTGGGGGTGTGGAAAGGAAGGACTGCCGATATTGGGCATAAGAGGCCTCAAGAAGCAGGAAAGGCCTCGGCACAGTGAAGACAAGCAAGTGCAGAGACAACTCGAGGTTCCTCCTGGCCAGTTGGGGGTCAGCCCGGGCTCTCATCTGCATCCACTGCTTTCCCTGGTGGATGGAAACTTCACGTGGTGAATGTGTTTAAATTTTCCCGGAACTTATTTATATGTCCCCTGAATCCTCTTACATTTAGCCATCTAAAATTTTCTTGATTTTTATAAGCAAAGTATTTATTAAATCCTAAATTATATTATGTTACTCTTTTGTTTCAAATTCCTTTGGGGATTTCCCATCCAGGGTCACCAGGGTTTAGCAAATAAAAATACATGACACCCGGTTCCATTTGAATTTCAGATAAATAACAAATATGGGTTTAGTCTAAGTACGTCCTTGGGACATTCTTATACTAAACATACTTATACTAAACCTATATTTGTTGCTTATCTGAAATTCAAATGGAACTGAGTAATCCATATTTTATCTGGCAACTGCATCCGCATCGAAGTTCTAGTAAAACCCCAGCTCTCTCCCCTGTGGGCTTAGTATTCCCTGTTGTCCCCTCCAGATCATTCTCTGCCCTTCTCTTTCCCAGGAATTCGTACCTCCATGAATTGTATCACCCTGGCTCCCCTGGGCTCTGACTTCTAGTCGGGCTCAGCCAATGGGAGGCACTGGCCTGCGAGCCAAAGTGGGAGAGGAGAGAGATGTCAGGATATTTGTTCCTGCAGCTGTCTGGGCTACTTGGCGGAGGCTACATTCCATTACCAGCAGCCACAGCTCCTGTCTGGCTGGGTGGCCCCCTCATGGTGGCTGTAGATGTCCCCGGGTTCTAGAACGGTACAGCTTCCAAGGGTGGTAGTCTCTGAGAGCCTCACCATCCTTCCCTTTACAAGTCCCCACCTCTGTACCTTCATTAAACTCTCTTTCGTTTCCCCTTTAAGACTACCATCTCTTTCCTGCCAGGACCCTGATTGATGATGTGCCCTGGGTCACAAAGCCAACCTCTCCCTCCCTCACTATGCCCGCTCTGCATGGGCTTAACCTCCTCAGATGCACCAGGCTGGTTTGCACCTTGGGGCAATGCTCTTGCTGTTCCCACATCCTGGAACACACTTCCTTCAAGTCTTGGCATGGAGAGCTTCTTTGCATCCTTTAGGGATGAGCTCAAATGTCACCTCCTCAGAGAAGCCTTTCCTGACCACCTTACCTCATATTGTCCCATCCCAGCCAGTTTCACTCCATCTCAGGAGTGGACAAGCTTCAATCTGTGGGCCAAATCTGGCCTGCTGCCTGGTTTTATGAGCAGAATTTTACTGGAACATTGCCATGCCTGTTAGTTTAAGTATTGTCTCTGATGGCAGATTTGAGTAGTTGAGGCAAGGGACTGCGTGGCCCACAAAAATCTGAAATATTTACTATCTGGCTCTTTAACTAAAATGTTTGCTGACCCCTGATCTATCATATCAAGTTGTTATCTAGCCTCTGTAAATACTCTTATCAATATCCTTTATTCGCTTACCTATGCATTTATAGATTTAGCTGTCTCTTTGTTACTTGCGGTGTGTTTCATATGGTCCCCGCAAGGATGTAAACTCCATACTATGTGTCTGGTCCTCCACAGGTATTTCCAGTGCCTGAAGCAGTGCCTGGCACAGAGTAAGCACTCGGTAAAAATCCGTTCAATGACCGGGTCTCTGGAGGTAGGACTGTGTACTCTCTGTTCTTGGCTCCTTCCTGAAGATTTGGGGCTTGCAGAAGGGAACGGGTAGGTGCTGGGAGCAGCCTGCTCTGGGCCAGACTGGTAGCCAAAGGGAAAGCCACAAAGCAGGAAGAGATACATTCCCAGGCCAAGTATTTCAACTTAAGCAGCCGGGGTGTGTGAGTCACCAGCTGCGTGGAGCGGACCCACACTCCCGCCACCTCTCCACCCGCTCCCCAAAGGTGTTTGCGCTCGTCCCCGAGGGCCATCACCGGCCTCACCCATCACCCAGTCCCACCCCAGCTCCCTTTCCCACACACAGAGCTGCCTTGTGGCGTTAGGCAGTGACTCACCCCCACGTTTTCTTAAATTGCACAAGTAACACGTGAATCCTTGTCCTTACGAAAATTAGAGCAGAGAAGATAAGAACAGCTAGTGTCTGTTGGGTGCCTGTGATGTGCTGGGAGTGTCCTGGGAGTGGGGCAGAGAGGCCCGCAATTGGCTCTTCGGAGCTGGAGTGGGCTGGCTCTAGAACACCATTAGATGTGCCCCAAACTCTCTGAAAGCTTTATGCACATCATCTTATTTAAACCTCACAAAAGGGGGCACCTGGGTGTGGCAGTCGGTTAAGCGCCTGACTCTTGGTTTCAGCTCAGGTGGTGATCTCAGGGTTCTGGGATTGAGCCCTGCATCGGGCTCTGTGCTCCATGGGGAGTCTGCTTGAGCTTCTCTCTCTCCCTCTGCCCCTCCCCCTGCTTGCACTCTATCTCTCTCTCTAAATAAGTAATTATTCTTCTTCTTTAAAGAAGAATAAACCTCACAAAAGTATACGAGATAGATGGTATTATTCTTCTGCTTTTAGAGGTGATGAAATGGAGATTCAGAGAGGTTAAGTGTTTTGCCCAAAGTCACACAGCTAATAAGCTGCAGAGCCAGAACTTAAATCCAGGTGGTCTGGCTTCCAGAGCCTATGATCTTAACAAATAAGAGTAACATCTCCTTTGACCACCACACATATATCTGCCTCCCTGCCCCATAGACACAACCACAATTATCAGTTGGGTGGGTACCATTCGGATATTTGTCTACACACGTAAATATATGTAAATAGAACATGGAAATATATAAGGTTGTGTGTTGTTCTGGGTGGCACAGTGTGGTATGTATAGTTCTGCAGCCTGTGTTTTCATTCAGCAATATGTCTCGGCCCTACCTCATTCTTTCTCACTGTTGGATGGCATTGACATGCCATGAATTGTTTAGCATTTCCCCCATTGGTGGATGATCAGGTGGTTTCCAATTTTTGTTATTGTGAACAACGCTGCCATGGACATCCTTGCCGTGCTTCCTGGTGTACATCAGAGAGCTTCCTGGACTAGATGTAGAACTTCCCGAATTACATGGGAACTTACTTATTAACTTATTCATGAGGTTGTAGCTTTTAGGTGCATGCTAGCTGGTATGACAGACAGATATCCAAGATGGCCCCCAGTGACTCCCAGTGAATCATGGCATTCATACCCTTGTGTGATTCTCCCCTTGAACTTGCTTCCAGCTGACAGAATATGGTAAAAGTGGTGGGGTCTCATTCCTGTGGTCAGGTTCCCTGAGACTGCAATTCCCATCTTGCTAGCGGGCTCTCTCTCCTGCCTTCTCGGCTTGCCTGCTTCGATGAAGCGAGCTGCCATGTTGGAGAGGCCCACATAGAAGGATCTGAGGGTGACCTCTGGCGATAGCCAGCTGGAAACTGAGGCCTTCAGTCCAACAGGCCCCAACTCTGACAGCGGTGAGAAGATCCTTGGGCCTTCAGGTGAGGCTCCAGCCACCGCCCATACCTCGATTGTAACCCGTCAGAGACTCTGAAGCAGAGAAGTCGGAGGATCCATATCCAGCCTCCTGACCCACAAAAACCATGAGATCAGAAATGTGTGTTGTTTTAAGCCACTTCATGTGTGGTCATTTGTTATGTAGCAATACTGCTGGGATGAAGCCAAGGCTGAGAGGGATTTAAGTGTGGTGATGTATGGGAGGCGATCCCAGGAAGCACCAATAGGGGCGTGGGGAAGCTAGAGAAGAAAGGGGAAGAAGCCGATTCAGGTGCATCAGTAAGCACATACGGCTGCTGCGGAACTCCTGGAAGATGGTGAAGAACACGCCTCAGGGTCTCCCCTACCCCCACCCCGAGGAAGTCTGGGTGTTTCTCCTCTGCTGTCAGCTGTCACTGGCGGAGGGCTGCTCCTTCCCTTAGAGCCTCCAGCCTGCCTCCTGCTTGGGCTGAGGGGGGAATGCCTTCAGGTATTTACAGTGGGTGCTCACGGTGGGACACCAGCAACCTTTATGGGTACCCCTAGTGCCCAGGGGATGCAAGTGGGACATACTGGAAAGAATAGACACCTGGACGCCAGAAAGATCTATGTTTCCGTTCTGATTCCACCACTTAGTAGCTGTGTGACATCAAACAAATCCCTAAGTCTCCCTGCACTTCGTTTTTCTTTTCCTTTCAAGGGGAATAACAGAACTTTCCTCACTCCATGTGAGAGACACATGGAAGAAGCGTCCAGCTCCATTTTGATACGTCCTTATTTCTCGCTGACATTTCATTCATGTACTCAACAAATATTTACCGAGCACGTCCTACACGACAAGCCCTGTGCTGGGCTCTGGTAAGTATAGTGGTGAAAGGGACACACGAGCTCCTCATGGAGCTTACATTCTAGAAACAAGTTAATAAATAAACAGGATAATTTCACGTAGAGATGGGGTGGCCAGAGGAGACCTCTCTAAGGAGATGTCATTTGAATGGAGACCCAAAAGATGAGCAGGAGCCAGGCGTGCAAAGAGAAAGGGAAAGAACATTCCAGGCCAGAGAAATTGTAAGTGCAAAGGCACTGGGGTAGGGACAAATTTGATATTTTTGAAGGACAGAAAAGAGGATGGAGAGGTTGTTAGTTTCTCTGAGGCCCAGACTCTTTTCTGGAACCCATCACCAGATTACCTGGTGGGTGCCAGGTCTAAAAGGACAGAAAAAAGACTAATTCCAGCCCTGCTGACAATCCCACACTTAGCCTCAGGATCCTTTTACTCTTTGGTCTAGAGACTGAAAAACATGCAGCTGGAACCTCTACATGGTGGTACCTGCTCCCCACTTCTATCTCAAGAGCCCTGTTGATGTAGGCAAAGGGATCATTATTATGCCCATTTTACAGATGAGAAACCTGAGGTTCAGAGAGGACTATGGGATTTTCCCAGAGTCAGAAATATTAACGTTGGGGGCGCCTGGGTGGCTCAGTCGTTAAGCGTCTGCCTTTGGCTCAGGTCATGATCCCAGGGTCCTGGGATCGAGCCCCGCATCGGGCTCCCTGCTCCACGGAGAGCCTGCTTCTCCCTCTCCCTCTCCCCCTGCTTGTGTTCCTGCTCTCGCTATCTCTCTGTCAAATAAATAAATAAAAAATCTTAAAAAAAAAAAAAAAAAAGAAATATTAACGTTGACTTTT